TGTGCTCTCATTAGCATAAGAAAACCTGGTGCATATTTGTAGAGCAGGTGCAAGTGATGTCTCATCTCTTCCTGAACAAAAGGTTAATACATTCCCACAAGAAATTTAATCTAAGTCACTTAATCTTATCACTAAAAATGATATGATTGTAAATTGATATAAATGGAAGTTAAAAAAGCTTCAGGTAATGCACTATAATTATTAGTTAATATTCAAAAAGGGCAGGAAGTTTCAAAAAAAGAAAAGTTACACCACTAACTACTAACAATTAATTTGCACGTATTGCATTAATTTTTAACTTAATTATGCTGTAAAGTTTAAGCTGAAGTACGTATGGCACGTGCAGTGTAGGAGTGTGATGTAACAAGAACTATAGCTCATGTTTTGACTTGTGGATTTAAAATCTAAGTGAATTTAATGTAAATGTAAATCCAGAGGATTTAAGTTTTATGACATGAAACCCTGTTGTTGAAAAGGAAAAATAGCAACTTGGTAGACTATGAATGATATTAGTAGCTCTAAATCCATTTTACAAATTTTATTACCTCAGTTAAAATTTGTTCAAGTATATATTTAAGGATGAGTAAATAATTATTATATAAAAAAGCAACAGGAACTGTGGTAAACATTTCTTGGTAAGAGGTCACCATGAGGAGACAAGATGTGAATTGGGCCTGGGTAATAAAACTCTGTGTATGTGTGTGTGTGTGCGCGCGCACACAGCAAAGGGAAAGAATTGTCTGGGGAATTTAACCTTACTGAAGAGTTTGTTTGTTGTGGATATCTCCCATCTAGAGATTTTCTGTCCTGTGAGGAAAAAGCTTTGCAGTTAAAGCCTGGTCGAATCAGCAGTAGATTCCTTCAGTCCACAAAGCAGCACAGGATGACAAGGGGGACAGACTTAAGGATGACAGAGTAGAGGAAGGGCGGGCCAGTAGGCCAGCCCAGGTGTCCTGCAAGGCCCTCATCTGCTTGGTGGTGGCCCAGATATTCAAGTCTCAACAAGAGCAGGCTGAACACTCAAATAGGATGGGAACAAAGGTAGCCAAGGACTGCCAACCATCAGTGCTATGCTGCACTTTGTCACAGGCTTATCGGAGGGAGGAAGGGTGGAACAGTGGTTGTCAGTTTTGTTGAGCTTCTAGTTATTGTATGTGTACTAAGAGGAGGTTGAAGAAAGTCGTCTGGTAACCTGGGTTTTGTTGATCTTTAGTCAATAACGTTGGCTGAGCATTTATACTCTTGTTGTAGACCTGTGTGGAAAACAGGAATTGCATTTCAAATTTTCAATAGAAAACTTTTTGTTTGATAGATTTGTGTTCCATTCTGTTCATTTTTGTTTACTCTCCTTAGAAACAAAACCTGCATACTTTGAAATTATTTCCAAAAGAAAGATTTTTAGTTAGATAGACCTGATTTCACAAAATATTTCTACTTGGATAGAACTACAAATTCTAACAGAAGATAGTTCTATTGAGATTTCTCTAGCTCTTCTTTTTTGCTATAGTTATTCAAAGACAGACTTAGGCATTTGTGAATGTGGGAAAAATTTTGGTTGTAGAGATCCTCTCATGTGTATAAACTGTCACAGTTTTCCAGATACAAAAACATGCTCAAGCTTATCTTTCTTTTTTTGTGCATGAATGCAATCTGCATGTGTACAGATGTATAGAAGCCTACATAGATCTAAAAAAATTGAGCTGTGCTTTCATTCGTAAGCTTTTCTTAACATGATAAGGGTTAGTTTTGTTGGCTTATTTAATCTGTCTAGGCATTAACATCCTCTAAATATAATTACCTTCCACAAAGAATCTATTAGGTGAGAAAGTGGAACATTCGTCTTTGATTGCTAAAGGGAAGAAGTGATTACAGGGCAAGAAGGCCAAGTGTGTAAGAAAGACATTTGCTGGAGATTGTAAAACCTAAAGGGAAGGCATTACTTGCTGGATTGTAATTAATTTAAAGAGATGTACACAGTGTTGGTTTATTTTGAATACTACTACAGAGAATGTGGTTTTTATTATTTCTTGGGGTGCGTAATTTTCACAGAGGTTTGAACTGCACAACAAGAATTAAATTTAATTATCTGTATTCTAGGACAGCTCTTTGATTAGGTATTGGTTAAAAGCTATTAAATTATAGAGAATCCAGTAATTGAACTTCCATGGCAATAAAAAGGAATACTTCAACTATGTTTGTTACAAACTTCATTTAAGATGCTTTTCTGTGTTAATTTATTTTAAGCAATGTCATATAACTTTCTGTAATCAATTTTTGGTTTGGAGTTTTAAACATCTTAGTTCTAGGGCTTACTGAAGTTTCCTTGTTCTTAGCTGCCAGAGCAACCTGAGGATTCCCCGCACACCAGAACACTGATGAACTGATTATATCATTGTCTTCTGCCATGTTTGTTTTCTTCTCGGGAATTAGAAGAACTGGTATATTACTGCGCTCACCTTTCTACTGTTTCCTGTAGCAGGAAGTACCTTTCATTTAACACACAGTTCTTCAACTTAAAAAGAAAACTAAAACAAAAACAAGCAAATAAACAAACAAAACCCCCTTTTGCCTGCTCACATTGAACGCTGGCTCTGAGAACGGGTAAGCTCTGTAACAAGTTGCCTGGAAATGTTGTAGAATCTCCAGCTTCAACAATTTTCAAAACTTGGTTGGGCAAGGCCAACATTTGAGCAACATTTGATCAGGGTGTTAAACTAAATGACTGACTAACTTCCGACCTAAAGCTTTCTATGACCTAGCCAAAAGAGATTACCTTTGTGGTTATTTTAGCAAGAAGTAAATACTTTTTTTCTTTCCTCATTAGTTTCTCATCAATCTATATTTTTTGAGAAGTGTGAAAATTCTTCATTGTCTGTCTTTTGTTTTTTCAGGTTTTTCTGTACCATGCTTTTGCTCATTAGGTGGAAAATTAGCCAGGTACATTAATCTTTTGAATTGTGAAAACAAGTAAAGATCCTTTAAAATTTCTGCTTTAGAAGAGCTTGCTTTCTTAAGCACAAACAACAACTCTTTGGGAGCTTTCTTGCAAATTTCTTTGAGAAATACATTCTGGATTCCTCCCAAGGGAATCATGGAAAGTCATGAACAGCATAGACTTGTAATTCAGAGGTGCTCCATCTATCAGCAGCAGTTAGAATGCCAGTGTTTCAAACGTACTGCAGAAGGTATCTGCTGCCCCACTCAGGCCATTCTCGGTATTAGAGAAAATAATAATTTTTAATCAGAAATTAATAGCATCTCATTCCTTTGCACTTGTTTTCAAGGAGGAGGGAAAGAACCCTAAGAAGAAATAGAACAATTGTTAAGCAATTGTTAAGCAGTTGTTATTGTTAAATGTTAAGTTCAATAGTCACCACTGAGAAAAAGATGATCTTGGAGCAAAGGCTGCGAACTAGGATATGGGAAACCTAGACAGCAATTCACGCTTCTAGAGCACATTTGTGAAGTTCTGGTTAAGTCATTCCAACTCTGTGACTCAGTCCTTCATATGCAAAATAGAAGGATGCCCCATCAGAGCCTTTGTCTTCCTTTTAGTTCAGAATAAGGTTTTGTAGCAAAGTCCAAGGCCAGGTCTACAAAAGTACTTCCCTGCCTAATCCCCACTGGGGATAATGCAACTAGATTTATATGCCTGAATACGCTTGTGTGTATATGCACTGCTCAGTGTATGTATGCATATATACATGGGTATATATGTATATTCAACAACAGTTGCCTAATTTCAGGTGAAATAAAGTACTGCTTTTAAAAGAACAAACAGCAACAGCTTGGGTCAATGTAGATCCATCAGTAAACTAACCAGATCATTGTTGCATTTCAGGGCTGCTAAGATGGTACTACCATAGGCTTGTACTGCACAAAGTATAAACAGCTTTTATTATAAAAAAACTCTTCATTGCAGATCTCTATTACTTTGTATCTGGCAGTATGCCTTCTCTGGAAGATCTCAAAATCCCTTGCAGTAATATAGAAAGTAAGTCTTAATTAATTTGTAAGCTGTAGATGTAACTCTAAATTGCACAGGCATCTCATTTATGTCTCCATGGTGTGATTTCTTCCAGGTTTTCCCGCTTCTCCTTTTTAAGGCAGTAGAACAAAGGTTCTAACACTTCTTTTCTATTATTCAAATAAATAATTACAATTCCTCCAGGTTACTACCAACTGACTTTTATGTAGTAACATTTTGGTTAATACTCCAAGTCCTGTTGTTGCTTATAATACATAACTGAGATGTAAGGAAAACTTCCATACAGTCAGTATCTCACAGGGTAAAGCTATCAGAGCAAAAAGTTGGTATGTCATGTTTGAGATTTAACATGGTACATTTTTAAGCTCATCATCTTCAGAAGATTTAAAAAATAGATACAAAAGAAAAGATTTAAAAGCAGATTACTTCAAGCATTGACTGGTTTTTACTGTATGGAGGGAAAGAAATTTCACTTCCAAAAAGTTACTTTGTAACTCCTACTAAATGCTGAGATGTTAACAGCAAAAATAAATACCAGATTTTCATATAATGACAGTGCTTTATTTTTTCTCACAAGCAATTTAAGCAAAATGATTACAGGAGAACAGAGATACAGATTTGATGGTGCACTTCATTCTATATACCTCATAACATAAAGGATCCTAAAGAATAAAATTTACATAATCTTAAGGGGAAAGAATGTATAATCTAAGTATTTTTTAGAAATGAAATAATGATATTGTACTTTGGTGAATCTGAATTCTTAAAGCTTCTAATTGATACTATCAGCTGCCCGAACGCATGCATTTTATTCTATTTGCTGTCCTGTCTGTACTCATTTTGCTGTTAACAGTAAAAAAAAAAAAAAAAAAAAAAAAAAAGGGGAAAGAATGTATAATCTAAGTATTTTTTAGAAATGAAATAATGATATTGTACTTTGGTGAATCTGAATTCTTAAAGCTTCTAATTGATACTATCAGCTGCCCGAACGCATGCATTTTATTCTATTTGCTGTCCTGTCTGTACTCATTTTGCTGTTAACAGTAAAAAAAAAAAAAAAAAATCATTTTCAGCAAGCCAAAGGAAAACTAGACAGCATCCTTGAAGTTAAATCAAATTAATCAATTAGATGTGACAGAAGGGTCCTCCTGTTCACCCGCATATTGCACATCCACTGAAATGTAGTGCAATACATCACTGAGGTATGCTGAGTTTTGCTTTTGTTAGCTTGTTCTTTTTCTTAAACCCTACAAGTTTGAGTTTATCATCCCCATTCCTTGGCACTCAATGATGTAAGCATCTTTACTGGGATCTTCCTCTTCTGATTTTGTTACAGTAAATTTAGCCTAAAATGAACAGGATTTAAAATATGTCACTAAACATGTTATAGTATTCATATAATATACACAAGTTATAACATACATATACATAAATCTTCAATATCTGATGTCCGGTAATCTGTTAATAATTGTTTGTGCATGTTGAGAGATTTAACTGATTTCATTAAAATTATTTAAATAAAGGTGGTAAAGGTATCTAATCACTCTAAAGGCATTTAACTATAAAGTATGTTCATCTTCTGCTGATAAGCTCCCATATAAATATTTTAACAACTGTTTTATTATCACTTGTCCTCCATAAGGAAAAATTCAGTTCACAAATCCTGCTAAAATCAGAGCGAGTCTATACAGCTCACACTTCCTAGGGTACAGGATGACAACTGATTGGTAAAACTTCCTCAAGTTTTGGACTCACCTTCGTTAGCTGCTCTGCAAAGTGTATAGCAGTTTGAGTATGAAGTGTGATTGGTCCACTTTTCACTCTGGACACCCCCTTTGCTAGTGCCATAAAAATAATCAGCTGAAAGGGTGGATAAAGGTAATTATTAAATAGCTATTCATATCCTAGCAACTTACTGAGGAAAATCAAAAAAGAAAAGTGAAGGAAAAACATGCAAAACATGTGTAAATGAAAATATCGTTCCAAACTGTCAGGTTGTGGTGAGTAGTCCACAACTGATCTAAGTCACTGCATTTGCCTTCAGCGTTAAAATTTCATAAAAGTACATGGTGGTGAGTATTAAGAGTGATCTAAGATTCAATAAGCTTGGGAATTACTACTGTGAACGCATATCACAGAAGGGCTGCTACTTCTCCACAATCATCTTTGCCGCTGAACTTCTGTTATTACATTTAACTTCAGCCCCACTCTAAATTTCACCCAACTCACTTCACATTCCAGACTGGTAGATTACCTTGGGGAGGACATAAAACTCAGGAGGCGGTTTCTACATTATAACACTTTATGATCAGGTATTCACCTGATATTAAAAAGTCTCATTTGATTTACAAACCTCACCATGACATGCACTCTGTAAAGCTTCATATAACTCAGAACAGTCCCCACACGCGCTGCATCTAGCTGTGGGATGTTTCTACCAATTATATTGCACACGCTCCAGAAAAGGCAGGATGACTTCAACACCTAACTACTTCCTGTTATTCTGCATAATAGGAACGCGTGGCTGGGTGCTTACAGCTAAGAGCTAATGTAACCCTATCTAGGATAGTCCATACTTTTTCAGACACTGTCATTCAAAACATGATAGTGTGTGGCGGGGAGGGTCTCTATTCTCAAATGTAGTTAGGCAAGGAAGTTAACTGGAACACCTCCTGGATATTTTCTCTAATAGCCTCTCTTAGTCTAGTCTTTAATACATGGGAAGAGAACTCTATTCTTCCTCTACTATACGGCATGCATGGGTTTAGACATAGCAAGTGCCAAATGGGAGGGAATTCCTACCCCTTTCTTTCAGATAGAAATACAGTCTAACTTAGAAATCTACATTCCATTTTTTCACTGTTCAGATTTAAATGATTTACAAGTAATACATATATCCATGTGGTCCTTCCTGTACTTCAACTTCATCTGAACATATATAGGAGCCTTACTTGGTCTTGTAGAGAGTCATCCACAGCTCCACCATGTTTAAGATTTCTAAGCAGTATCTCGGCTGCTTCAATGCCAACTTTGTCAGAATTCTTTCCTAACAGAGAAATCCAGGAGATTAAGTAGTGTCCAATTATTATTTAGCACTTAAAAAAATACAGAAAACTAAGAAATGACAAACAACTTTTTAAACCTTATCTCCATACTCTTGCCTCCAATGTCCACTTGGAAAAAAACTCCTCTCTTATGATGAAGTATAGTTCATACTCCCTATGCAGAGGGAAGCCTGTAGCCTCATGTACACCAATTACAACTAAAATCCTTTCTACACCTTTTAATCTAGATAGACAATTAGATGTAGTGAGTGCTGAACAAAAAGCTCACAGGTAAACCACAGCAAAGACCGTATGTTCTTAAAATGCAGAATTATTTGCAACTCAGTGACCTTTAACAGTCCATTCAGATAAAAGGTGAGTTTAAGAACACTGTAAATTTTGACTATGCAGAAGCAGCTTAGAAATATAATGAAGTGTAAAATTCTATTAACCAAAATTAAAATCTGTTGATTTCTACTGTCCTTTATTACTAAATAACATCCATTAAAAATTAAACTCAAAGCATCAGACCTTCGAACAGATAATATTTCAGATTCCTATTCGTTAATAGTACGTTCAAGTTAAACTTAAAAGAGGTGTACTTTACACAACTCTTACCTCTCTTGCCAAGTGATGACCCAGCTAACAAGCAACCTGTTGAAGTTTCTGCAACAATGCTAAACAGAAAAATCAGAATCAATATTAAGTACAGAATTACTTATATTACATTTTATTTATCAGATAAGTAATCAAGATTATTGTATTTTGTTTTTTAATACTGAATTTTAATGTCACCATCAGTATGGGGTTTGTATTTCAGTGTGTCAAAACAAGTGATCACGCAGGAAATGTTTTCTCCTTTTGCCTTTCTTTCAGATATGAAGCAAGACTGTAATTATTACGCTCTCCTCAAAAAGGAAAAAAAAAATTCCTCCTGCAAATGCCTCCATGCCAGGTCCCACTACCCTCCCCCTTTTTTGTAGCTCAAGAGTTCAGTGAATGGCAGTGCTACTGAGATATTAACAAAGCTAAAAACATTGTCTTTCACACCTTCCACATCTTCACTCAGATGCTTATGAACAAAGGTTAAATGCATTTAACATTTGTAGGAGAAAAGCTTCCCCTGCCTATATAATATTTATAAAGGTTTTTAAACATGATAAGAGTTTTGAAATATCCTAATATATATTTTTGCTTTAAAAAAAAAAAAAAAAAAGACGACCGTCACTTTTTATGATTACTTGTGTGTCTTGAGAAGATATAGCTAATCAATTAGCAAGCTAACAAGGCAGGTATTAATAGGAAGTTTTGGTTCATCTCACATTATTCCACTTCCAGTCCCAACGGCTTGATCATCAGGTTCTCGAACCGCCTGAATGTTAACGTAAAGATCCCTGATTTCTTTTCTGATGCATCTCACTGCTGCTGATGACATGTCTTTTGCCAGCTAGCAAGGTAAGAGAAAAAGGAGCAAAACATTAACTAAATTATACTATTATAATAATACTTTTTCCTCATAAGCGTAATTATTACCACGGATCCTTAAATAAAAGTCTTCCAAGCTACAAAGAGACTAGTTTTATTGACTAAAAAACGCAAAGGGCTGTTATAAACCACGGCAAGCATTGAACAGCTTCTGAAAATTTTCTCCCAGAATTAAGGTAATTAAGGTAATATTAAATACTAAACAACCAATTATAGTCAGGTACATAGAAGCTTGAATATCAACAGAAATGCAAGATGTTTTCCCTATACATATGGATAGACATTTAATTTTAGTCTTGATTACTTCAAGATATTAGATTGTAAAAAAGCAGTTATTATGTATAGGATATACTCTGTAAATCGTAATGTATAAAATAACAGTTTTAGATCATAGGCAGCTGGAGGCAAATGAAGTTCATCTCATCCTTGGGATCCAGTGGAAGAAAAAGAAGATCATAGTCCGTATTCATAGGTTTGGAGATTTTAAGACCAAAATCAACAGTCTAAGGCCCTTCAAGAAGTAACTCAATTTCTTCTCTCCCTTCCTCACATGCTTCCTACCCTATGTGTGTGAGAAGGAATCCTGAGGAGATCCTGCCACTCACTCTCTGTAAACACAAACAGGATAGGAATAATAGAAAGGAGAGGTAAAAGGAAGCAAATTCATCTATGTTTTGTCTTTGCCTGATCTATCCTTAACTTGTTCATCTGATGCCCTTAAAAACATTTGAAAAGTCTTATTTAGTCTGATATCTGTGTATTACCAGTGCACTATAGTTTACCCATAAATCTATGAATGAAGGCCCTCGTTTCAGATTTAAGATAATTTACACAAGTATGAACTGTACTTAAATCAGGTTTAAAATGCCCCACAATCTGTGCTAAGGTTTTCTGAATGGGCATCATCTCATCAAGGACATCGTTCTCATTCCCTGTTTTAGGTGCTATCATGTTGCTATGCAATAAATGCATTTTAGAAACATCCAAAATTCTATTTTATGGCCTACAAAATTGAATCTATTTAATAAGGCTGCTTTAGTTGGTGTGAAAGAGTGCAGAATACAGGAGCACCAGAGGTATGTTATGCAGATTACATACAATTCAAATATTTTTTAAATATATATACACATGTACACATACACACACATATAGTAAAGCTAGATACTTCCAGAGCTATCATCAGCACTCACTTTTATAGGCAGTGCTCCAGCAACAAACGCCCTTCCATATATCTTTGTCACAGTGCCACGTTCTGTTAAGTTTATTGGGCTCAACTCTTTGACTGGTGACATTTGGACTATAACTTCACCACCTCCTTGGGGATAGTAGCCCCTATTTAGAAATAGTAATCAGATGTAAGTAGATGCAAAGATCAGAAAGAGTAAGAAAATAGCAAGAATGCTCTTCACATATTTGATTACACATGTTATGTTCTCTGTTACTATACAAATGAACTTTGTTGATGTGTGCCTTAGAAATACCTAAAACAGAAATATGTTCTCTAACAATATTAGCTCATAACACACATTTTACTAACTGCCTAATAATAGCTTAACACATTTCTTCTTTTCTGAAACTTTACTGTTTGTTATTTGTGTTGAGATATATCTAAATGCAGACAATAACCCCTGAGAAAGGAAAGAAGTGTCTTGTGTATAGCTAGCGTCATAAAAGACATTGTTGTGAGTGTGCTTAGTTTCCTAATGATTGGTATCCTGTTCTCTACTGCAACGCCACCAGCCTCACTACCTCCCTCTTTCCCACAACAGACCTCAGTTCTCCGTGCAATAGGCCCGGCTCCTTCCCATGTCTACCAGTTGCCATCTCCACAAGATGCAGCGCACTTTCTGGCTGGTTCTGAGCTTGGCCATGGACTCACTGACTGTTGTATTTGGCCTGCCAATATGCCAACTAGTGAGCCTGTACTTCAGCCCTTCCTTCAGTGATTGTGCTTCTTTGAATCTTTTATTATCTTCTCATGTAGGAAAATTATAGAAATGTCAGGTCTTTGAGACTTGAAGATCTTGAAGATCTACCCCTCTGTCAGGGTAATGCTGCTTCTAACAGGCTAAACTGGCCAAAAGTCTGGCCTGGAAGAGGGAGAAGGAAGAAAAGAACAGCTAGCTGGACAGTTGCATACCAACAGTTGACTTTGAAAATAAGATAAATAATGAACACAGTATCTCCTTTAAGATAATAATTAGGATAAAGCCTCCTTTCAAATGGGTAAAGTGCAGCTCAGATGTATCTAACAGACCTGATACAGTCTCTCCTGAGGCTGAAAGATAGTAAACTATCTCTAATAACCATGGCATCAGAAACTTTAGGTTCTGTGGTGCTTTTCTTCTGGACTTTGAAAGGGAACCCAAAACACTTTGTTAGGTGCATGGACTCTCTACAAGTGCAGGAGCATACCCATAACTAACAACTCAGAATAAGCTCTGTAAGGAACTGCTTGCTCAGCAGGCACTTCCCTCTAAGGTAGCCAATAGGAAAATTGAAACACAAGCTGAAGATTCAGCAATGAAAAAAGACAAGAACTATATCACGTTTATCATGGAGTGACAATACACACAGGGCAGCTAATGCGGAGTAGTTATTGTATTACAAATTCATCCTTTGACTTGATTCAGGACACCTTGTGCATGTGCATACGTGCTTAAATATTGGCTCAGTCAGGCCCGCTTCTGCCACATGATTCTACAACTCACCTCTTTCTTATGTCACAATTGAATGTGAAATTGAACTTTTCAACGATTGGCTTGAAAACCTGAAAAACAAGCATATATAAAAACACAGGGTGAATGCATTTTGCATTTACCATTTCCCACCATTCTATTCAGTCTTCAGAAAGGAAGAAAAACAAAAAAAGAGATGTTCAACATGAAAATTTCAGTTACACGATAAAAAAAGATAGCCAGTGTCATGCATACAGCTTATCTGAGGTTCTCTGTACTTTATTCTGAATGGCACTTTGTGTTAAAGGATTCTCATATGGAAAGAGGAAGAGAAATTCCTAACAATTTCACAGCATTCCTAGAACAAAGAATCTATTTTAAGTGAAATTATCTTTAGTAATTAAAACCAGCGGACAAGTTGCTATTTCAGGGAATTCTATGAGGCACTGGTTGCTCCCTAAATATAATACATTAATAGCGTAATAGTCCCATGTCAAAGAGATTGATGTCCACTTCAGTAGTTTACCAAGTAAACAGAGATATTTTTCCTTCATTTAATTTCAGTTTAAATTACAAATAAAACTGTGGTAAGAGCAATAGAAGTACAGTAGCTACAGTGCATACATATGCATGAAAGATGCATCAAGCCAAAGAAATTGTTCCCTACCATGACTGTGTAGTCTATCTGAGGAGCCATCTCAGCATTAGTCCCACCTTTTAAATGAAGTTCTGATGGGGAAGCAGCAAACAGCACACAGGGCATTGCTACCTGCATCAGTAGGCACACGCTCCTAAAAATAATCACAAGATACTCAAATGTAATACAGCCATAATCCATGCAGAATCATTACATATCAAAGACAAATGGTTTTCCAGAGCATTTACCTAAGTATCTAACTTTGAACATTAGCTATTAAGTACACTTATTACTCTTAAAAATACTAATTTAAAACTTTATGCTCTTAGCAAGCCTAAATATAAAGGTTTTTGTTCTACAGTAATGGTGTCTTTAATAGTCCTGTTTGAAATAAAAGCAATGTAGTTTATTTAAAGTGCTGATGGTATTGAGAACCGTACGCTTAGTTAGCACACGGGAAAAGCAGAAAAGGCTTAGGCAGCAATTCTAACATTTAAGAACAAAATATTTAGAAAACTACAAAATTGCTTAGAAATTGGTCATTATCCTGCACAAGAAAATTCAGGAGCATACAAAATCGTTGAATCCCTGCATATTCCATAGGTAATAAAAAACTCTCCAAAATAAATTTTCCAAAAATAAGTTAGTTCTGCAAACCAAATTGTAAAGTTACCTCACAGGTGTTTTAAGCATTGTTTTGAATTGTGAAAATAATTAGTAATCACCACTAAACTGAGGCAAACTTGTTTTTGTTTTCTTAAATAACCTCTGAATGTTTGTGAACCGTATTGTTATTCAGTTTTTTTGCTTGTGTCCAATTAGTAAACATGCAATGTTGCCTACTCAAACCTTTTTGTGTCATGTTTAAGTAAGAGGTAGTAGTTTGTTTGTTTCTGCTATTGCAGCTTGGAAAAAATTTCTCTTAAAGAAAATTTCAGCTATGTCTAACGTAGCTTATGCTGCCGAGTGATTGCTCACACCACTCTTGCAGAGCTAAACCCATTCTACTCAGTTCTGCAACAGTTTCAAAGACCAAAGGACCCAACACAGAAATACAGAATGGAAAAACACAGAGAGAGAAAATAACAGGTAGATTATGTCCCAGATTCGAAGACGAGTATCCCATATTGCACCGTTATGTGCCCAAGTGAAATCTCAAGACTGACTTTATTATATAAACATGATTAATTCAATACTTTATTGAATATATTATCAATAAATATATTGCTATATTAATTGAACACAAGAGAGGTAATGTTTTGTAACACAGTATAATGTACAGATTTGTAAGACAGAACTCAACGTAATTAGTTGCATCAGGCTTGATATCTAATGCAATAATGTGAAAAAATAGGGGACAAAGTTTTAAATACATGGACAGCTGTCTTTTGCTTAACATTAATGAAAATGTTCAATTTATGCATCAATCATAGCTTTAAAACTATAACACTTGCATGTACTTTATTAATACAGATCTTGCCTACATTAAGGCAAGAGAACTTAAAGCTTTAAGTAAGGTTCTTTGGTTAGATGTATCAAGGTCAAGCAGCACAGATTAAGGCTCATTACTCATGAATTAATGTTCTGTTATCTTTTATCATAATTTTAAAGTTACCAAAAGCAGTTAAGAGCAGTGACTAGTCGGTCATTATGTAGGTACAAAGACATACCCTGCTGTTTTTGTATCTGCTATGTGGGTTCCACCTTTGATCTTCCCAGGAGTGAAGGTTATTTCTGTTGAACCGATTTCTCCGCCCTCCAGCTTCCCCTCACATAAATCTCGAATCATCTCCAATCCAGACAGATGTTGAGGCCTTCAAGTCATAATACTACATTAAAGATACATGCAGGTAGACTACATATTCTTGTTACATTTAAAAAGTTACTAAATATCAACTAATAAATACTACGATTGCAAAATTCAGGCCAAACAAGGATCAGAAATTCAATCTTGTTCCAACAGTATTTCTCCTAATTTCATGGGAGCCAAAGGAACAGCTTTAATTTATTTATTTTTCACATGTGCAAGGAAACTGAAAATGCAGGTGCATCCATGTCATTAGAATGATCTCACTACTTCACTACATTTTGATGATGATGCTATGTAAAGTATAATTTCATGTAGTAGCCTCCAACTTTCTCTGCATTAAGGGCTGTTAGTCAACTAGTAATATTCTTGTTCTATTAAACAAATATTACTTGTAATTTCCTTACATAAGAGCCATTGTGAAATAAGCTGGAAACCATTCAGTGGTTTCCCCTACTTCCAGGGGAGTTGGGGAGCGTAGCTTAGAAAAGCAGCTCTCTTTCAGTCAGCCTAAATTAACTACCTGGGAGCTTCTGCCTCTCCTGGACATGTTTTAAAGCCCCAAAACAAAAAAGTTTAAAAATTACTGTTTGTATAAATGTTGAGGGACCAGTTTCCCTTAGCTGTAAGTTAGTTTTGTCCCAAATTAAGTAGAATACGTGCTTCTGACCTTCACACATCTTGGTCTTACAAAGATATGTAAAACGTTAGTAAAGGAGGTTGTCATTAATTAATTGGGTTAATGATGGAGCAGAATTCTATGGAGAAAAAATGGTTTTAAATCAGGATGAGGAACATGAGTAAGCTGTTTTTGAGGTTTCTGGTAGCATTTTAACTAAATCTGACCACTCCAAGACATACAGATCACACACAAACTGTTCTAACGCTATATACTCCGTGAAGCATGTTTCAGTGAGGCGTTATACGATCTCAGCCCTATTTCAAGTTTCATACCATGCTTAGCACCTCGAAACATGTTTCTGAGACGCTCTGCAAAGCGGTGCTACCTGCAGGGCGGAGGCGAGAGGCGGCCCCCTCGCCCCGGCTGAGCAGAGGCAGGAAAGGGCGAAAGAGAAGAGGGGCCGAGGTCTGCAAGCAGGCCTCAGGCAAGGCCTTCTGATTAAAAAAAAAAAAAAGAAAAGAAAAAGAAAAAAAGAAAAAAAGGTCCTTTCGAAGTAATGAATTCCCCCCTGCCCCGTCCCTTGGACGTGTTTCGGATAAGAGGAGCCCCCCACGCCGGCACAGCTGCGGGCACGCCCCCCCTCCCCCGCGGGGACAGCCA